AATATATGTTTATATATATATAAATTAAAAAAATTTGAAAATAAATCCATGTTGATTGCTACAGTTTGATGAAGTCCAGCCATTTAGATGTCATTTATATTATAATGATGATGAAGATTTCTTTGCAATATAGTCTGCACAATTAGAGAGTATTTATAATATTTAGAGTCATTGTCAAGGCAACGTCCCGTTAAAAAGAATGAAAGAAAAGAATTAAGAGGATGCATTCCTGAGAACCTTAAAATGAATGCTGAGCTAGACCAGTACTACCACATTTCCTACAATGTTCTGCCAGCATAAGGAAGATAAAATCTGTGTCTCATCATGTCACAGGAATGACATCTCCCAGATTTTTCTGAGGCTCCATAGAAGCTCTCTTCCATATTCCACAAGGAGTAAGTTGTATGGACCTAATCCAGCTCCACGTAGCGCTCCAGCTCTGAAATCAGACTCTGAGCCATGGAAGAACATTATATGTATCAGTCAGAGCACTGGTAGCAGTATAGAGTGTGAAAGTGAACATGTTGGAAGGCCCATAAACTTCTGCAGCAATACAAAATACCTTTTTGCATTACCCTCCTCTCATAATCATGCAAACAGAAGGCTGGGAATGTGGTCCAATGTACAAGGCAAGGCAATATGAATATTAGAACAGGTACATTGGTGTGTTGTCAGACTTCATATACTCAGGATTGGAAAAGCTGGAGTGTGAGACCTTGAAATAAGCACACCTTTTGTACAGTCCACATAAGGATATACACTCACTCATTAGGCATATAAATCCGTGTAAACTAACCTCTCTTAATGTCTTTCAAAATTTTCTGTTGGCAGACTCCTGAGGATTTTCTAAAAGTGGAACAGACCCTCGTGGAGCACAATCAAGCCTGATGATGGTTGGGACTGGGGTTTTTTGTTGGTTTTGACATACTCCTTAGAAGCCCATGTCTGTGGGTCAAAACCAGTACACTGTATAACAGTTTAACCTACATACCCCATTATATTTAAAACCCTGTAAACAATTTACCAAAGAAGTATGCTGTTACGTGTAAGTGCTGCTGACACTAAAATGTTGGGGCCAAAAACTGATAAAGACTTTCCAAACAAGAAGCAGGAACCAGAAGCTCTTTGATTCCTGACAGATTTTATTTGTTAACAGGGTGAATCTGGCTTTTAGATTTAAAATGTAAGTTTATAAAAGAGGGAAAAAAAAAAAAAGAAAAAAAAGAAAAAAAAAGATAAAATAGTACCTACCTATTTAATCCAAGTAATGAGGTATTATTTCATTTAAAAAAAAAAAAAACAAACTTGTCAATATTGAAATAAACCATGTAATGGTTTCTATATAATTTCTGTTCTTTTGAGGAGCAGATGGTTTTTAGGTGCAATATACCTTCCTATTTTCGGGTGATCTTAATCTCATACTTTTGCATATTTCTTCTTTCTCCTTTCTATTTTGAATACATGCTTATATTATCAAACCAACCTTGTTCTTTGGCAGTCTTGACCAGTCTGCTACCAACCCTTTTCATGAGCTAATTAGCAAACAAATTTAAAAAAAAAAAAGTTTTACTTTTTGCATGTACAAATATTTCTTTGTGGTTGCAAGGATTTTAATTTTTTAAGCTCTCTTATTGCAAAAATCTCCACAATCTTGATCTAAATTTACTGCTGAGAGTCTTGACACTGAAAATCTACTTTGTGATTTTTTTAATAGTTTTTTCAGAAGCTATAGGGGGGTGGTCACTTATGTTTCTAAACAAATTATGTTTGCATTAAAAAACTGCCTTCTTTCCAAACAAAAATAATTGTGAAGAATTATTCACTTTCTGTTTTTTGAAAAAAACTGGTATGACATTGAAAATCTATCAAAATGTTATGAAAATGTATAGAAATTTATTGAGATTTTTCACTTTAAATCTGAAAACTTCTGATAAAAATTTTAATTAAAAATTGAAACTGAAGCTAAAAAAAAAAAAAGTTTTTTTTTCCAAACCTGTGAGACCAATTGAATATCTTTGTATGAATAAAGTTTTAAATGTTTCAACCAGCTGTACCCATATAATAATTAGGACTGTATACAGCACTGCAAATGGACATTAGTAAAGCATTAATAGATCATTGCAGAGGTATCTAAGAAGACAACCTTATATTTTTTTAAGTTTTCCAGAATGATTAGTGGTCTATGTCTTCAGCTTATTTTCATCTCATTGGGATTTTTAGGTGTATTACTGGCTAGATTTTGAATTTCATATCAGAGTAATAAACTTTAAAAAAATAAAAATTTGTTGGGATAAATATACTTAGATACAAATGTAAAAGTAAAAATCGTACCTCTAAGGTTGTAACAAGCACAACAATGATCCTCTATAAATGCAAACAGAAGAAAAGTTAGCAAATGCCACTGATATTTAAGTAATATAAAGTAATGCAATAGACTGCTCTTGGTTTGGCAGATTTTAACTCAAACAAAATTCTTCCCAACTTAATGTTGTTTTTGTTTAAAAGACAAATACCTAGATTTCTTCATTCTATGTTAAATATGGCACTCATTTCCATTATTTGAATGTACATATGTGGCAAATTATTACCAGTGACAGAACCATCCAAATATTTTCTTTCAACAAATGGAAACATTGAAATTTTCATGATATTTTTCAGACTTCTCCGTTCATCACAAAGGAGGCTTTAACCTGAGTTCATATATGTTTTTCTCCTGTGTTAAGTACCCAAAAGTGCTACAAATGTATAGCTTTGTTAATATGGAAATATGCATTAAATCAAGGACAGCCAAGTTCCAGGGTTAATATTCAGGAGAAATGGGAATCATATTGGTCCAATCACATTTAAAGAATTAGCCTTCTTGTTCTGATTATGTACTTCAGAAGTGGCTACTGTCTTTATGTGGACAAAGAACACAGAAACTGAAGAGGAATATTTATTTCTTCCAAAAGCACCAATATTTGGAAGCTTGAATGCTTTAAAGCCATAGCACTTTATTCTCTAAAACAGAAACTGAAATTAAGAGTTTGAAAGTCCCACCTGATCTCATTTCTAACACTGTACTCTTTTGGCTAAGGGATTCTCTTCCCGTCAATGAAAAGTTTTTCCTCTATTACCCCATACTTGAGGAACTATTTGAAGTAGTTGAGTCCTGACACAAGGAAAAACTTCTCCAGGAAAAGTTCAGAGTCCAGCACAGCAATGTGGGCAGCTCGGCCTATCAATGTGTTGGCGGTGTTTGGCAGAGCATGGAACACGTTGTGTCTGATCAAAGTGCAGTCCTTTGCCCCAATCAAAGGCTGGAGCAGGTTGTTAATCATTTCTGCATAAACAGGACCTGTAAAAGAGTTTAGAAGTCACACCTACATGACAAAGCTTCTAGATCCCCTTTCCTTCCAGTATCATTTAATTACAGTCGCAATGAGAAGGAAAATAGAAACAAAGTCAAAATGCAAGATAGGAGTCCATTTCAAAGACTCGCCAAGTGCCAGTATGCTTTTAATCTAATGGAGGCACTGGCCATCCAAAGAAGTCTGCTGAAGATGCTGGCATGAAGAGTGGGACACTCCTCAGCATTTGGTCTCATTTCTTCCTCAGTGGGACTGACAATGCCTGTGAATACCAATGCAAATGGTCTGGCAAGACATAGAGATCCGTTTGGGTTTCTCTGAGGAATCTAATACAGGAAGGACATCATGCAGGTAGTTGAGGAATTTATAGGGCAACTACAATGGATTAGAAAACTTATACTTTTAAATTATTTACACTGAATATATATCCACCTCCTGTTGGTCAAACAGCTTCCTGAGGAAAAAACACTGGAACAAAGAGTGAGAAAATTACCTTTTAGTCCATATCTGAGGTAGGATAGAAAGAGCTGTAGTTTAGATAGTTTTGTGAAGGTAACCATACTGATGATTACACCTGGGTGTCTCTTTCTACTACCAAGAAATACCTCCATTTCTAGGTAATGACATGTGTAAAATGGGTATGAAATTACACTGAACATTATTTCTGGAAGTGGTATCAAACTGAAGCCATAAAATATTTTATAAATAAGGGATACTGCTAGTAACAAACGCAATATTTGGGACAACACGCAGTGTGAACTCACAGGAAGGTTAGGCCTCTGATGGCATGAGCCCTGATCTGTTTTACAGATTTTATTAAAAACCAATATGAATTTATATCTGTCACTTAAATCATCTGGCAATTGTCCAAACACTTGAAAACAGAGGGTAAAGCCCCTGAGTTTGAATGTGCTGAGAGAGATTTCATTATGTGAAACAAAGGTAAGACAGAACTAGTAATCCAGTAGACTACAAAAAAATATTGTCAAGACCTAGTTATATTACCATCACTTTAAAAAAATAAATTAGAGGGAAGAGGAAGAAACAGTAAGAAACCTTTCATTATGACCTGACTGAAATTTGTTTTCATCAAAGAGCTTGTTTTGAACTTCTTTTCTTGATTTCCACCATTTGCTATGGGATGAGAACATTTTCTTCTTTATCAAGTAAACAGTTGAGTTTTCATCATGCTGATGAAAAACCCATCTAATGCAACGACCTCAGTTACACAAAAAAACCCCAATTCTTCAACAGCTTGGTAAATATAGAAAGGATCTTAAACATACCTGTGTGTCTGTCTTTAAGTGCGTTTTTGCACATTTCTATTCTTGCTGAATGAAAGGGTACATATCTGTCTTGGGGTGAGGCCACTAACACAACATTTTTAAAGTACTGAAGACCTGTGGCAAATGCATTGAATACATTATCACAATGATGCACAGCGATGAAAATACATAGTGTCAGCATTACTACTTCAAACACATTCAAAAATTTAGTGTAAAATAGGTTATAATAAAATAGTCTAAACTCATTTCTGCTGCTTCTGCAAACTACTTGCTACTTATCAACACTCCTATAGGTTAACTGTATGTCAACAACAAAAAAGAATAGCTGACAAAAGTGTTTGATTAAAATCTTAATCTTGAAAATATTTATGCCTCTAAACATCAGAAACACATGTACAGCCCCACTATGGTCAATGGGTCGTTCTGGTCGTAAGTGTTCACAAGAACAGGGATCATAATCAAAAATAACACATCTAATGAGTACATTTTTCTAACAAATTAGAGAGAGGGAGGAGAAGAGGAACCAACTTCATTGCTATGATGTCATACTGCTACGTCAGTGTTGAGGGAGGCTTGGGATTCCAGTCCCTGCATTCAGCAGTCCCTTGATAAATGCACACTGCTAGTACATGGACTAGAAACTAGGAATCTTCCCTCTTCCCTGGAGACAATAAAGTCACTGCTTGGTAACAGAAACAAGCTACTGCTGTTTGCCCTGTCTCTGGTCTCTTGAGCCCTTCATCACCCACATTCAGTGGAGAAGTGGAAAAATGAACATGGATGATCTAGTCTGCTAGTTCAGAGCATATCCTGAACACAGAAGAGCTCTGCATTTGACCTTCATCTTTCAGTCCCCCTAATGGGAAAAGGGCCCAGAACCACATCCTTTGATTTTCATAGAGGAGTTGACCATAACAACCACAAAGAAGAGTCCTGCCGTCTGCCTTTACTAAGCCTGGCTGAAAGTGGGTGTTATTTTCTTCTTGTGATTTCAGCGTGGGGTAGAAGGTAGGAGAAGATCAGTGAGTGCTACCATATCTAAAATCTTATGTGAAAAAAATCCATAGGGAATAATTTTTGTTTTTTTCTTTTAAGATAAGCACAAGAACATTTAAAGAGATTGAAAAGTAGCAGAGACTTCTACTTTAAGAAGAAAGTCAGAAATTGCTGGAGGCTTAAAGACTTATCTGGGCAAGTAGGCACAATATTCTTTCTGATATTTCTCCCTCTGCAGGTTCTCTCAACTGCTTTTGTGAGCAAGGTGCTAGAGTAGGGACACCTCTGTTTTGACTCCTATGTTCAGATCTGGACCTACCTGCTTCAGATTTTTTGACTAAACATCTACCTGGATGATTCTGACTTTACAGACAACCCTCTTCACATTTAAATTTCTGCTTTCTGCTTTTGCAGGGACCTTTTAAATCAGTCTTTACTTCTAAGGCTGGCCCTCAGGAACCCCAGACCCTGGAGGTAAGAAAGAGAGGCTGGAGAAAGGAAGACCCTCCCTTGGTCAAGGAGGATTAGGTTAGAGATTATCTAGGCAAACTTGATATGTACAAATCCATAGGCCCTGATAGGATGAACACGAGTGCTGAGGGAGCTGGCAGATGTTATTTGGAAGGTCATGGAGAACAGGAAACGTGCCTGAGGACTGGAAAAAACGTCATGCCAGTCTTCAGAAAGGGCAAGAGGAAGACCCAGGAAACTACAGGCCAGTGAGCCTCACCTCCACCCCTAGAAAGGTGATGAAACAGCTCATCTTGGTTGTCATCTCTAAGCATGTAAAGGAAGAGAAGGTTATCGGCAGCAGTCAACATAGATTCACTATGGGGAAATCATGCTTCACCAATCTGATAGCCGTCTATGATGCCATGACTAGCTGGGTGATGAGGGGAGAGCAGTGGATGTTGTCTACCTCCACTTTAACAAGGCTTTTGACCCTGTCTCCCAGAACATCCTCATAGGTAAGCTTAGGAATTATGGGTTAGATGAGTGGACAGTGAGGTGGATTGAGAACTGGCTGAACAGCAGAGTTCAGAGGGTTGTGATCAGGAGTGCTGAGTCTAACTGGAAGCCTGTGGCTGGCAGGGTTCCTCAGTGGTCGGTACTGGGTCCAGTCCTGTTTAACATATTCATCAATGACCTGGACAAGGAGATGGAGTGTACCCTCAGCAAGTTTGCTGATGATGCAAAACTGGGAGGAGGGGCTGATACACTAGAAGACTGTGCCTCCATACGGTCAGACCTGGACAGACTGGAGAGTTGGGCGGAGAGAGACATGATGAAGTTCAACAAGGGCAAGTGCAGGGTCCTGCACCTGAGGTGGAGTAACCCTATGCACCAGTACAGGTTGAGTAGTTGACCTGCTGGAAAGCAGCTCTGCAGAGAGGGACCTGGCAGTCCTGGCGAGCAATCAGTTGACCATGAGCCAGCACTGTGCACAGTGGCCGAGAAGGCCAAAGATATCCTGGAGTGCATTAAAAAGAGCATGGGCAGAAAGTCAAGGGAGGTTATCCTCTCCCTCTTCTCTGCCCTAGTGAGGCCACACCTGGAGTACTGTGTCTAGTTCTGGGCTCCTCAGTTCAAGAATGACAGGGAACTACTGAAGAAACCCCAGCAGAAGACTACAAAGATGATCAAGGGAATGGAGCACCTCTCTTATGAGGAAAGGCTGTGAGCTGCATCTGTTTATGCTGGAGAAGACTGAGAGCGTGTCTTATCAATGCTTATAAATATCTAAAGGGTGGATTTCAAAAGGATGGGGCCATAACCTTTTCAATGGTGCCCAGCGACAAGACAAGGGGCAATGGACACAAACTGGAATGCAGAAAATTCCATCTCAATATGAAGAAAACTTCTTTACTTTGAGGGTGCCAGAGCACTGGAACAGGCTGCCCAGAGAGGTGGTGGAGTCTCTTTCTCTGGCAATATTCAAAACCTGCCTGAATGCTTTCCTGTCCAACCTGCTCTAGGTAAACCTGGTTTGGCAGGGGGGCTTTGGATTAGATGATTTCTGGAGGTCCCTCCCAACCCCTAACATTCTGTGATTTTCGGGTTCAGTAATACCTTCTTTTGTAGCTCATTAGATCTCTAGCAAGCTAACAAACAGTGAAGCACTTTGACAAACAACGCATGCTTGGGAATTCTTTGGATGGTAATTTATGATGTAAGCTTCCTATGTAGACCCAATTTTATTTAAACATGACAGTAGTAAAGCAGACATCAACTATACTGCATAGAAATGAGAGGCAGGGAATCAAAGAGAAAATTAAAATAAAGAAATTCAAATAATGCCAAGATACAGCAGGTTCGTCTCATTGATTATGTCATTCAGTGTGTTCATAAAATCAAGGAACAGCTCTATGTCTGTCAGACCAAGAATTAAGAAGTTATATTTATCTTAACATTGTCTATGTTTCCTATTAGCAATGTCCCAAAGTATGAGAAAAAAATTAAATATCAAGCAGTGACCTCGTGACTATGTACGTAATAACAGTTTGTTCACACAAAATATTAAAATTAACTCTTAAAAGAAAACATATGCTTGAACAGAAGGATCATGCTTGCTTTCTTTTATTTAAGGAAAGCCTGATTTATTTCATTCATTCATGACAGCTCAAGGCAGGAGTAAAAACATCTCTATTTAGACATTTTCCCAATGTTAGTCCATACATCTCTCTCTGTAATACAAAGGTGTAACAACAGACATGAATAAAATTCGCTCTTCATCTCTGTGTCATATTTCCTAGAGACAAGAGATGTCAAAGTTGAAAAAAAATAATAAAGAAGGAAAAATGGTTTTCATGTCATAGCATAAATTAAGCAATGGTGGCCTGGCCTGGTGTGTCAAGAATGATATTTCTTGCTTGCAGAATATAAGCTTAGGTGCATTTTTACTACAGCATGGATATCTTATTTGGTGCGAACTCTTTGGCAAATATATTCACCTATAAATGGCACAGAAAAATACACAGATAAAATAGATACTAGATTTTATACAGATCAGCCCTTCTCAAAAGCAAGAATGTTTAAAGAAAGAAGCAGATATTCTCTGGAGGACATGGCAATCCAATATAATCCTTTGGAATGGCCCTTAATATTTACACAGCCACATCAAGTTCTACTCACCTGTTTTTTGGCTGAGCTGATAGAGGAAACACTTGCGCAGGTCCGCATTGTCCCTGAAGGTCAGTTGCAAGAGTGACCCTGACTTTTTTAACTTCTGCATGAGCCAAAGACCTGGAATGAAAATCAGTGCATATTTTTATCCTGATTGCTAATTATCAACCAAGGGGATTAAAGACGTGCTTACAGTAAGGGTAGCGCTGTAACTCAATATGTCTTTTTTTCCTTTTGTATTGCTAATGAAGAGGCAAAAAGGACTAAGGGTCTCACTGGATTATCCATGACCTGGTAGCATAAACATTTAGGAAGGCTAAACTGTAGGACATTCCATTCCATAGCTCCATAAGTGTCTTCTTCAGACTTGGAGATGCCTCGTTTTATTGGCAGTATACAGTGAAGTGTAAAATACAGTAGGAGCAAGGTCATCTCTCACTGCTGCATACCCTTGGGTTTTCCAGGGAGCAGTGTTCTGGACCTTCTAGTACACGCTGAAAGCTCCTTTCATTGCAATTTTTTATGTGTGGGTTTGAAGCCTTCAGCAAATATTTTCCACAAATTCAGTGTACAAGTCATGTTGTTACTATTTATTGCTACCTCCATATGCTGCGTTCTCATGTACTCTGCCATGGACTGCAGCCAGCCATGGCTTTCGCATCAACTCTTACCTGTACTAACCAAGGTACTGTTGTTGTAAAGGGTTCCCAGGTGAGGCCCAGAGAGGGACAGGAAGGTGTGTAATTTGTTGAGGTAATAGCGAAACCTGGGGCGAGTTAGTACAGATCGAATGATGACGTTACCAAGGGAATGCCCAATAAAACTGTTGGGAAAGAAAGAATTACATTAAGACAAAAACCATTGGTATTTTATTTAAATTAAACATGAGGGTGGCATAAATTGCTCTTGAGAGGACTGTATCAGGGCTTTCAGTAACATCCTTTAGTTATCTTTTCTCATTTTTTTCAGCCTTGTAGATACTCTTTTATCTGTAACAATGTAAAAAGTCACCTCACTGATTCAACGGCTTTTGACACAGGGCACTTCTGGAAAAGCTAATTTCACTGAATGTTGCTCATGTAACTCAAAGAGTTACAGACCATTAACTGTCAGAACGTTTACCTTATTCGGGATATGGAGAGGTTGTACAACTGGATATGCTGAATAATTTCATCCAATAATCGGTCAGTCATTGTATCAAAATCAGCAAAGGTATCAGTCTGGTGAAAAATAGAACGATTTGGTGAATTAAAATATATTGCACTTACTGCAGACTGAGTTATTTTGAAAGTAAAATGCAAGCAGAAACATAATAACTCGTCAAAATTTCCTTTATACATGCTTGGGGAAGTAAAGAGGGGGAGTGGGGTGTGGATTTTTTTCAGTCTCCAGGTCCTCTAAGAAATGAAGTTCTCCTTGAAAACAGAGTCCTGAAGTTTCACTTTCAGTTTATTAGCAAATAGCTTCCAACTAATTTTGCAAACTTGCACAAGACAAATATTTTCTTTTTCACAAGCATCAACAGTAACAGCAATACTATGGGTCACTGTGGGTCTCATTGTTAAAGTCCAAGCAGGCTTTCACTGTCTTCAAGGGGCTCTTAGATAAGTCAATATTTTCTTTCATAGGATCTCTTTAACGCTATATTATGCCTTTTAGCTTGGCGACAATCTGAGAATTTGAGTTATGACTAGAGTAACCCTACACTTCGTAATGCATAGAAATAGGGCCGTTTAGAAGAAAATTTATATTTTAAGGGGATTAAATTACCTCCTTTTGTTGCCTCTTTTTCTCTACCAACTGTGCCTCTAACCTTGGCCTGTGTCATGATAGGATAAACATGGACCTACAATTTCCTAAGATTATCGATATTAGAGTGATTCCAGAGTCATAAGTATGATCTTAAATCAGCCTGACTTGACTCTGATGAGAACTACTAATGCTTAGTTGCTCTAGATACCATACTCTGCACATGGGAAAAAAGCTCTTGGCATTTAGGTTTTAAAAGATTACTATGATAAAATAGTTTACAGCATTATACACTGACACATGGGTTATGCTGATGCTAAGGATGTAATCACAAAATTATTTGGCCATCTTAATGAAATGCTGTGTGTTTTTTATTCAACAGTTATCAGCAAGAGAATGAGTCCTACAGAGCGGCAAACGATTTGTCGCTTGCGACAATACTGCCAGTTGTGATACAATAAAACAAACAATATATCGTCCAGTCTATACAATTACAGACAGATCTTATTCAGAACTGTGTCATTTGGCAATCCAACAGGACTCTAAATCAGATTCATAACTAATGAGATGCCACAAAAACAATCATCAAATGTTGGAACAGCTATTCAGAGCAAACATACAAGTAATTAATGCTTTTCTGACACGACTCATCTTGCTAATTGCAGCTCTTGCAAAGGAAAACATAAGCATATTCAATTTGCAATAAGGCCTTAAAATAAATGTTCACATAAACTACAAACAGTCCACTAACCTTCCGCCTGTTTGTTTTGTCTGCATGGATAATTAACGATTTCCTCCTAGACTCATTATCCCAAATCTTTCAGGTCGTTTACAAGTGCAAGAATATCAGCCCAAACATTAATCATAAACAAAACACATGAAGAGTCATATTTCACTTGGTTATATCTCCATCCTTTAGTATCATCTCAGCCTGATTGAGTTTATCAAGTGTATCACAAATTAATGCTTAAAAAAACCCGTGATTTGTATTTTCCTCTATAAGGAAAACTTCAACTAAATGACTGATTTCTTGGGTCATTTTCAGTGTGGTTCTCAGAGCAGGGAAAAAGAAGTTTGGCAGGATGCTTTACAGCATCCAAATAATATCAAACGACATGGGTTCTATTTCTAGTGCCATGGGAAATTCTTCATTTTCCCATACTATAAGCTCCCATTATGGGCTCTGGATAATATTAGAGATGTTGCAAGATGTTTCATTTTCTGAAAGCATGAGAAGAAGCTTTGATGCAAGTCTGAAGTGTTCTCCTCATTAATTTCATCTTGCTTACGTTCACTGTGGAGGTCTGCTGCTGATAGAGATGTGCGCTGGAAGGTGGCAGGTTCACAGACTAACATCAACTGGCCACTTCAAACTATAAAAGTTGTTGAACAAAGAAGGTTGTAAAGTTTTGATTCAAGTTACTCAGCTGCTCATATATCGGAATAATGTTTCTGACCGGGCACTGGAAATCCTTATTGTGTGCATAAAGTTAGGCCTTTGTGTCATAAATATGAGTTCATTGCAGAGTAAAGCACAGAACTCATTTCTGTTTCTGTGCCTAGAGTAGCAATGAATTTTTCCAGAAGACTTTTCTTCATCATTCAGGGAAATAAATCTCACAAACATTACAACAGAAGAAGCAATGGTTGATTCATCAAAGGAAGTTGACAAAACCTGCTGGATATTCCACATCCTCCACAAGGCTTAGCATCACTAAGCTTGCTGCTTTCCATTGGTGCTGTGTTGCCTGGCATCCAAAAGGTGGACGCACCAGGATGCAAAGCTTTCCAACTAACAGGATAAATCAATTTTCTTCTTTTAAGGTCTAGTCCTATAAGTGCTAATGTCATTGCCTTTGACTTTAATACCAGGAATATTTTCTGGTGGGTTTGAACACCCTATCAAACTACACAGGAACAAAACCAGGCCTTTGCACTAAATACTACATAAGATTTCCTGAACTCCCCAGTGCTTTTGCTTCATTCAACTGGTGAAAAGTCTTTACTGAAGGCCCTGTTTCATCAATGTCTACAGCTTGCAGCAGATCTAAAAGAAGACAGAAATTAGCTCTGTACTACCTGATTTCTTTCAGACATTAGGAAGTCCAGTTTTCCACCAGGGAGTCCCAGTTCTATAAAAGTCTTTACCAGCCGCAGATCTGCACTGTTACCTAGAAAAAAAAAAATGGTACTTTAAAAGATGTAATTCAACAGAAAAAGGTAATAAGACACCAGGGTGTTCTTGCTAACCATTGCTGAGAGAGCTCACCACACCATAAGATCATGCTGAAACAGAGGGAGAGCAAGAATACCCACAGCTTGCAGAAGGTGGGGCTGGACCTCACCTCTTGGTGCCAGGGACTGCCTAAGTGGTGGGGAAGAAAAGGCAAAGATCAGGTCTGGCATAACTCTGTCCCCTGTTTGATGAACAGCAAGAGTAAGACAAAAAGACAAAATGTTGAGAGGTCTGTCCTTCCACCTTCACAGCTGGTGAGACTCCCATGGGGACACCACAGCCATGCCAGGGACCTCAGCACATGTGCTAGAGGGCTGTGCCTTCAGATGTAGCCTGCCTCTATGTACTCATGATAAGAGGTAGTGCTGGAATATTGTCAGGCTCCTAATATTTTAGGAGATACCCCATTCCATACTAGGAAATTCCAGTGTCTTCTGAAATGTTTTGTTGAAGAAGGAGTTATCTCCAGCTCATGAGAAGACCATTACTGCACTGAGATATTGAATGGCAAACGGTCCTTGCTTGAGCCAGTGTTTCCCACCTTTCTGAGAATGCCTGAGATTTCAGAGAATGCCTGAGATTTCAGTCTGTATTCCTCTTTCTCTGCAGTTTGAAGGTTACAGTCTACACCTTTCTCATTGATACTAACTATTTGTCAAGAGAAGTTTCAAGTTCAATATATCTGCTTTCAGCTTCAAAAGCATATAGTAAAAAATTCCAGGCCATGCTTCTGCTGCAGTGAATAATGGTATCTATTGTGTCACTTTCTAAAGCTGGCTACTATCTACCCTATAACAGTGTTTGAGGGAGTTAAATAATTATTTCATCTGGGTGACATATAGCAAAACACCAAGAATCTGTGGAAAGACAAAAACAGTTATTGTGAAGCACTCCTCCTGTACACAGAATGACTGAGGTATTTTGGTGTAGAATTGTGTTTAAACAGCAACAACAAAAATAGTTGCAGCATTCATTTTTTAAAACAAATATTTAATAATCTCCTAGACCCTTTATTATAATGGACTGAATAACATAATAAGAACTAAATGCTTAGATAAGATAAATACTTTCCTCAGACTCTTCCCTTTTTCATACTTGTTGACCATCTGCCTGTTTACACCAAAATGGCATACAAACAGCAATTCCTCCAGCCTTACCATCCAATCCATGGACACAGACAACCAGATGAATTCCGTCTTCCAAATTTTCTTCCTCTTCCTCTGGTGGAAAATAGGGGATATCAGAAGCTAGTACAGATAAGTCACTGTACAGAAATCCTTCAATCTTCATTTCTTTTTTAAATTTTTCTTTGGCCTGATAAAAACTGGAGAATACATTAATTAATCACAATAGAACAAGGTGTTCAACAACAAACCTTCAAACTAGAAACGAGGAGGCTGGCATTTGCAAGGAGTTATGTTTGCCACTTTCAAGTAGAGACCTGGATACAACTCCTTATCTACTCTGATTGAGAGAAATCAAGATGCAAGGAAGAAAATCTGTTTCTGAATGATTTGGTTGCATAAAGGGAATGGCTAAAGTCTTTTTTCACCTCACACCTGCCAAATGAATGAAGAAGTTGCAAAAAATCTTCTGCTGACCCATAACAATGAGGATAAGATACAGACAGCAATTTTGGATTTTAACGATGTCATTAGCCTTATAAATACTGAAATGCAAAAGGTATTATTTTACTAGCATTTATAGACAGGTAGAAGGTGCTGTCCCCATTCCTCAGACTGTGGAGTAAAAGGATGAACTTTATATAGTACATATTTTTGGTTTGGTTTGGTTTCGGATTCTTTAGAAAACATTGAGCAGCTAAAAGAAAGAGCAGCTCAGTGTTGAAAGAATTAAGCTAGCCCCTTTCCTTCTCAAGGTCTAAAATTTGACATATGAACTTACCCTGAAGCGTTCTTTTGTCTGAAGATGCCAAACTCTTTAATGCCTTTTTGACTTAGCAAAACTTATCCAGAGATTTTAGGAATTAATAACCGTAAGTGTAGAATTAGGTAGAAAACTGAGATGGACCAGGCTAGGAGATATAAACCTTTAAAGTATGGGACAACTACTTGATATAATGGTGAGCAATTAGTTACATCAGCCCTGCTGACGTTGAAGGAACACAAATCTAGCATTTGGTCCATGGACCTGGAGGCCATGTGTGAGAACACATGCTTAAATATTTTCCTTCACAAAGAAGGAACACATTTTGTTCTGAGATTAAGCAGGAATTACAGAAGGATCTATAAAATGAAGCTCAAGATGCTTTCAAAAAACACCAAAAAGGCCTTGGGTAGAAAATTAATGCACATGCAGAAGACAGCCAACATTTGGCGCAGCTGAACAGGTTGAGAAATTCCCATGCTGCTGTTTTCCCTCAGCAGAGACACCAAAATACAGAAGAATACAGGTGCTGGTATGTCAGTCTTTGAAATGGGCCACTGTGAAATCAAGGCCACGGTGAGGCACTTTTGCCATGGCTAATGAAGCAAGGAAAAAAATAATACCTCTTCTCCAGCTACGCAGGATGCCAATTCTCCCATTTTTTCAGTTTGAGAAGAGACCCTACCAGTCAATCTGTGTTCCCATTTCATAGTTTAGCTAATGGGTGTACTTACTTAAGCAGAAGAGAAAAACAAGCTATGGCACTACCATAGTGAACTGACTATCTGAGATCAATACCCAAGTCTGTGTAATCTTGACCTCATGAAGGAGGGCCAGATTTTAAAGACTATTTAGATATTTGAATCTTACTGATGCTCGTGAGGATTAAGGACCTAGTGTCTTTGATGATGCCAGTCTCTCTGGGATTATTCTATATAAACCATTTGTTTATTTGGATTTTTTTGGATGTCTCTGAATGCAATCTTACCCTATGCTTACTGTATGAGGGCCCTGAACTTTTTCAGGTCTCTTGGCACTGTAACAACATTAATGAACTAATTAGGCATTCTTACTTCAGCATCCTTTCATTGGTCTCTTCATCCACCTCATCTGAATTAGAAGAGGCAACTCCAAAAGAGCCCAGAGGCTGACGTGTGATGGGGAATGCAGCCTGCTTTGCAGAGGAGCCGACCATAGCAGGTGTCTCCTTGAGCACAGAAGAAAAGGGAAGACAGGTGGCTGTGCAAGAGACAGACAGGTTAACCACATCAACAGCCTTTCTGCTTTCCAGTGCTACTCCTTCCGTCGCTGAATGAAACCCGTTGCCATTAGCCACGAGTTTATCCTCTTGGCTCTCAGGTTCCTGAGGATATTCAGCCAGGTGGGAAGCTGCAGCAGGGTCTGACGAGGCAGGTGAGTCATTGAGCTCAATTTCTTGTAACCCATGCATTTCTGCATACACTGCCGGGCTCTCATCAGCAAGAGAGCTACCACGCTCTGCTTGCACTGAGCCAAATTCAGCTGAGGTCTCTGAAGGAGCTGGAACAGGATAGCAAAAATCAGGTATCAGCTTTATGCTTTCTGAGAAACTCTCCTCTCCTGAAGTTCCGCTATTGGAGTAAAAGCCTTGTTGTATTTTTAAACCATTTGGCTTCATTTTATCCTTTGGATCCTTGACGCATGTATCAAACTTCTCTATATTTTTGTCCAAGTAATTACAAGCCCTTGGTGTTTTTAAGCTGCTCTCAGAAGTGCTGTCCAGTGACTGGAATTCAGAAGCATTATCTCTGAGCTGCTTTGGACAAATGGGTAGTCTTGCACTTTCCAAACTACAGTAAGTCTTTGGAATACCTTCCTTCTCCTCCTCCCCTTGTAACTCAATGTTACTGTGTTTGACAGAGGGTTTGGTATGTCCTCTTGGTTCTAGTTGGCATCCAGAAAAGTCCAGGGCCAACTGCCCATCTACGCCCTCTGCCTCCATATAACTTTTCAAGTTTCCTCCTGAATCTCCTGAGGTTCCTTCACTGTGTTTAGATATATCCACCTCATCTGCAGGCTCTTCTGGGCTACTGATCTGAGGAGCTGAGACAGATTTGGTCAGCTTGGTAAGCTCCACTTCCCTCTCCTCTTCCTCAAAGGGCAAAGAGCTAATGGACGTGAGTGATGCTTGGATCCCACTGGGCAAGCTGGTATTGCTTTCTGTGTGGCCACCCTCCAGGGAATTTCGGTGGATAGCATGTCTTCGTACCAAGTGGTGCAGGATCTCTCGATCACTGGGCAGTTCCAGTGCCCGGCTACGAGCATCAGACCATGCCACCGAACTTGGTTCACTTTCAATGCCTGAATCAGATATTATAGAGGAGGATCTTTTTATAACCCCTGACATCAGGGTAAATTCTTCACACTCCTCACCTCGTTGCTCCTTTGTGAACAATTTCACTTCAAAGCTGTGGGTGGGCAAAGCTTTCAAAACAGGGAGCAGAGTCTTGGGGTCTGGATCTCCTGTTTTTTCAAGACTGCTTAATTCATTCAGTGCAAGCTCAGATGAAGTGAAATTATTGTCAGCATGACCATATTCAGCTGTTTTATGTGTTTCAGTCCTGTCTTCCAAGCCATCAGTTCTGCATGCTCCACATTCATACTGAGCACTGACAATTAACATGGGCTCACTTTTGTGGGAATCCTTATTGCTAGGTTTCATATCTTCATAGGTAACACACGCTGCAAGTCTAATGTCTTTTAATAAAACTTCCTCAGATGTTTTTAACACTTCCGATGTGCATTCTGTATTGCCTGGATCTGAGTCAGAAGTGGATTCCTTACTTGAAACAAAAATATTTTCGGGTTTCCTTTGGCCTTCTTTGTTGTCTGTACATACCTGAGATGTGCAGTGCTGGTTTAAACCCTTAGCTGTATAAGCAGCACCTTCAGTACCTCTGTATATGCAGGAGGGATTCCCATTTATCCTATCTGTGTGTATTATCAGAGTACCTTTCCCAAAGTCTCCTTCCATTACTGCAGTGGCATCATTTGATGTAAAATCTTCATTGTTATCTATCACATCCATCTGAGTATTTCCAGGAACCTCAAAATCTGGGAACACTTCCAAATTCTGATCTGAAAGAAAGAAAAGAAGTGGTACCTGCGAGAAGACAGCAAGCTACCCAAAGTGATGTGGGACTTTGAAAAGTGTTTGTAAGACCTAAAAACATATGTATATTTATATTATATAAATTATACATACATTAGAGGCATATAAAAATGCAAATGTCAGAGTGCACTTAACTAAAATTGTACTCACTGAACCATTACAGTTAGCACAAGGAAGACAATATCAATAAAATACACCTTCATCAGCAGAACTGTATCTAAACTTCTAGTTTCTACAACATAGGTAAGCAAAACAGAGCTGACACACCGTTGTATTCCTGTTGTCATATGACATTGTTCATAGTATAACTCTTGCTTGTCAGTTACTTTAATAGTTTAAATATCTGTAGTGAGCATTGTAAAAAATGAGGCAGCTGGATAACTCTGGAAAAGTAGAAATTTTGGACCACAGATTGTATTCACTAGACTATGGTCACACATAATATGAATACATATTCTTTCTTTGTTAATCTTAAGATTTGGGTAAAAATTAAAAAGAACCGAGGGCTATGAGGTTTTAGTACAAATCTGTAGAACTAAATAATTTCTTAATTAAAAACTTGATTTGGGTACTCTAGGAGAAAATTTTTTTGGGAAAGCAATGCTGCCTTCCAAGGACACTGTTTCGCTTTATGCTGAAAGGTTTCTGTTGTGAGTTTTCTTACCACTAGATGTCACACTGGGCTGTTTTTCTTTTAAATCTGTACTGTAACAAAAATCCAAAAGATTATGTTTTCTTTCTAGATTTTGCCTCCAGCGCTTGTAACTCAAGAGCTTACTGTGAAGATGAAAAATATGAAGTTACAGGAAATACTGTAGTTTGCTACTAGAGAAAACGGAAAAACCCCCTATTTTACATAGTGGATCACACTGTTCCAAGCTACAGTCAGCCCAAGAGATGTGAGGTCACTTACCTTGGGCTGGGGAAGTGAACCGCCCTCAGCTCAAGCTGTCTCATGAAGCTGTACTTTGTGGTGTTTTACTCACCTTTGCAAGGCATGTCTATGTACCTATCTTCAAAGATAACTGGGAGAGTGTTCCAGTCCCCATCTATGTCAAGACATTCTGCTGGTAGCGGAGGCAAGCTGGTGAAGTACTCTGAATTACGAATTTCTGTAGAAATCTGTCCATGACTTTGAATCCTGGCAGCAAAGTACAAAAGAAATTGGGTGTTTGAGTAGTTACCGTGCTGTTTTTCATCACTCCTGCAAGCCCGGCAGCAAAGCTGGGTGTGTAGGCAGAGGACGGAGGCAATGTGCTTAAAAGGAGAGGAGGCATAACTGCCCTCTCAGGTTGTACACAGTGCTCCTAGTTGGTTTCCTGTGAGATGATTTCTACTTCCCAGTTAGAGTTACCTACAACTTGCACACTCCCGCACTGCAAAACCTCTGTCTTTTTGAAATTGTTGCACCTGTCACTGCCACAGTCCTCTGTTAGCTCCCATAACTCATTGCTGTCCTCCCTTCAGCTGGCTTTCCAGTTAGGAGAAGAGGTCTGTTACTCTGGCTGTAGCAAGGATTTCAAAACACAGATGCAGGAAGCAGTAATGAAAATTTGTTTGAGCAGTACCAGGAGGAACAAGGCGAAGAAGGATCCATGGCAGCCCTTCTAACTCACTTATACCAGTCCTCAGCGCACTATGGTATCTCACATACGTATGCATCTGGAAGCGCTAAGACACATAATTCAGACACTGCCTGTTGGCAGAACTAGAATAACTTTCTTCTTCCATCTTTTGGCCCATGTAAAATGCTACCTGGCTTTCGTCAGTAAAAGTGACATCCAACAGGCACATGGATGTGGGTTCAGGTATCTAGTGGAAGGTGTCCTTGCCCATGGCAGGGGGATAGGGACTACATGATCTTTAAGGTCCCTTCCAACCCAAACCATTCTGTGATTGATTCATTCTATGATATAATAAAGCAATAATTTTTAGTTCTGATGAGTTTTCCTATGCAAGCATCTTCCTCAAAAAATGGGGAAAAAAATGAAATACAAAGTTTTTTTATTTGTATCAACTATTTGATGAATTAGTCTGTTATCCTAAGGAATAAAAAGGTAGGAAACAAGCTTTTCATACATGGTCAGCTGAAAGCAATTCTGCACAGATCCCATAGGACAGCACAATGACAAAGTTTCAGGTTACCGTTGTCAAAAAGCAGGTAATCATTACGTAGCAGTTAACTGGAAAAAACACACTTTATACATTATGAAGCAAAACTCAAACAACAGGTTTGTAATTCAATTGACCTGTCCTCATGCCCACATGGAAGATTCTTAGGTTCAGAAACAAATAACTTTTCCCAAGCAGCATATCAACTTCAACTTCAGGACATAATTGCTGCTGTCTGTCATTTGGTCTCACCTGTAGGCCAGTTATTTTTACCTCAAAGATAAACAAGTCATTGCTTGCTAAACAGTGACTCAGACAGGAGTCACAAACAGCTAACTGCCCATTGTTGCCTGCAGCAACACCTGGGTGTTTAGTTAACACAGCACGATAACAAAATTCTCACTGATGTATTAATTAATAGCATCAACATTTTATTAAAGACCACATGTAAAAATAATAAAAAAATCCTTCGAGACTGATCTCTGGCACACATTTACTACATAGACCAAAATTTAAGTTTGTAAACAATTTTACTTTTTTTTACTCAGTCTCCTTGATAATCACTGAGGAAAAAATATGTGTATCTGTAGGAATTGGACTAATTCTGTGGCTGCCTGGAGAAATAAAAGCCCTTCAGGCAATTAGGCTTCCCCTTCTGCAGGGTTATGTTTGCTTGAATGAGGCCATGAGTTTCTGTGGCCTCACCCCGCGACCTTGAGATGTTTTTTTCCTTGTACATAGCTCACTTAAAAACTGACATGAGAGGACTAAGTGAGCATAGTTGGGTCCTCACCGCCATGCTGCTGCTCTAATTTGGCAGAAGGTAGCCTTGTGCAACTCATCCACTAATGAAGTCATGGCCCTTTCCACCAACACTGAATCAGCCCTAATGTCCCTGGTGACAAGCCTGAGAAAATCGTTTTCTTCTTTGCACTAGGTCAGAAGCAGATGTCTCACTTAAGCCTCATCATTGTGACAGGACCTGATGTCATGACCTTCCGAAAGACAGATTTCCACACTGGTAATGTTATGGTCCACCCCTGGCGACAAGTAGTTTCAGTGCCCAAATATTCCAGACATCTCTCATTACCCAGAAATTCAAATCTTAGCATCTTTCTTTTAACTCTGCCTTCAGGGATCAATGAATGGTTTAGGTTGGAAGGGACCTTTAAAGGTCATCTAGTCCAACATCTTTGCCATCAGCAGGGACACCTTCAACTAGATCAGGTTGCTCAGAGCCCCATCCAAACTCACCCTGAATGTTTCCAGGGTTGGACATCTACAATCTCTCTGGGCAACCTGTCCCAGTGATTCACCCCCCTCATCATAAAAAATTTCTTCCTTATATCCGTGTGCTCTTCTTTGGATCATTGGCTAAAACTGAAGGCAAGATTTTGCCTGGTGTAGCTTTAAAACTGTTTCCTCATATTGTTCAGTGTGACTCCAAGCAAGAATTATTAAACAGAAGGAAATACTTACCTTACCAAGGTTTTATAGCATATTTTTATGAATGCAGCCCAGCGCAATGTTTGTTTTCCTAGACTGTTTTACACTGTTGATTCTCAGTTAATTAATGAACAGTCCTAAGCAGATATCGCTCTCATGGTTCCTCCAGCTAATGTGGTGGTATTGCCCATTCCTGTCCTCCGCTGCTGCATCTGGTGAACATTCACAGCTTTGCACTGGCTGTTTAATGCTCCTTTCTGCATAAAGATTCTTTCTGCTATAGAAAGTAGGGTGGGACTAAACACCAAAAGAAATACATGACTGCCTATTCCAAAAAAATGTATATTAGGGATGGTAAAAAGCAAAGTTTTAAATATTAAGCTTTTATGCTTGTCAGCAGTTATTTCCCTTTAGAAGCGCCAGTACTGGAACTGGTATAGTGACGTTTCGGAAGCTAATTAAAGAAAGGCATCAAAAAATATTTCTGCCTCTCCTCAGGATAATGGGGTTGGTGGAGATATGTTCTCAAGAGAAATGCACCCAGCTGCAACTGAATAGAGAGATAGGGAGAGACGTTCTCCTGCATTGTATTGTCAGAATATAGGAATGTTGAAGTTAATAATTCCTGGAGCCTGTTTGGAGTCACTTTTGACACTAATTTCAGTGTTTTTTCAATATGGAGATCAACAGTTACAGTGACTTCTCTCAAAACAAACTGCTCCATATCCAGCAGAAAAAGACCTTAGTTTTGATTGCGAAATGTTTTAAACTGTATTTTCAGTCATTCCAGGGACAGAAGAAGGTTAATGTGTTACTTACAGGCCTTCCTGGAAGGTGAGCACAGTGAGTTTCTGGTGCTCAGTGTAGAAGAAGGCTTCTGAGAATCTCCTTACCTGAGGGAGAAACACACACGTTAAACCTAAGCTCTGCTGAAGGGTGCCAAATACAGTCAAGCTAGTAACAGAGCAGTGACCATCAGGAGCAGACCCCTTAGTATGCTTCATCTGCTTTGTACCACTCTGGTGACAGAAAGAAACAAAGAGCAAGCTCAATTCTGCTTTACATTCCCACTCCAGCACAAAGCAGCTGGTGGTGTTGCATATTTTTTTCTGGCAGTTGACTCCATCAACAGTAAATCAAGGTTTACATGCGTATTCTGACTACTTTCCTAAAAGCTGTCAAATTCACCATTTTCCTCTTGATCTTAAAATGGGGAAGCTTTCTTCCTTTCCCACTCTTCAAATCATATAGTGGCAGAGTGAGTTACTAAATTAGACTAATTCATAATTGATCATCTGTTCTATGGAAACATCCACAGTGGTATCCAAGAGAATAAAAGAAGGACTTCTATAGGTACATAGGAGACCAAAAAAAAAAATCAGAGAAAATGTGAGCCCTCTGCAGATGGAAACGGGAGAGCTGGTTTCCCAGGATATGGAACAGGTCAAAGTGCCTTATTTTTGCCCTGGTCTTCACTGGCAAGAGTACAAGCCATCCCACCTGAGTTGTAAAAGGCAAAGACAGGGACTGGGAGAATAGAGAATCATCATAGAATCATCATAGAATGGTTAGGGTTGGAAGGGACCTTAAAGATCATCTAGTTCCACCCCCCCTGCCATGGGCAGGGACACCTTCCACTAGACCAGGTTGCTCAAAGCCACATCCAGCCTGGCCTTGAAGACAGCCAGGGATGGGGCATCCACAACATCTCTGGGCAACCTGTTCCAGTGCCTCACCACCCTCTCTGTGAAGAATTTCTTCCTGACATCTAATCTAAACCTCCCTGATTTCAATTTATACCCATTACCACTTGTCCTATCACTACAGGCTCTTATAAAAAGTCCTCTCCCAGTACCCTTGTAGGCCCCCTTCAGATACTGGAAAGCTGCAATGAGGTCTCCTCGGAGCCTCCTCTTCTCCAGGCTGAACAAGCCCAGTTCTCGCAGCCTTTTGTCATAGGAGCGGTGCTCCAGCCCTCTGATCATCTTCGTGGCCCTCCTCTGGACTCGCTCCAAGCGGTCAATATTGCTGATGGTCAGCAAGGATCAGGTTTGGGAGCACCTGAAGTTGCAAAAGTCCATGGGACCTGATGGAATACATCCACAGGTCCTGAAAGAACTGGCAGATGGAGTTGCAAAACCTCTATCCATCATACCTGACAAGTCATGGTGGTCTGATGAAGTTCCCACTGACTGGAAGGGGAGAAACATAAGCCCCATCTTTAAAAAGGGAAAAAAGGAGGATCTGGGCAACTCAGAAAGGCCAGTCAGTCTCACCTCTGTACCTGGCAAGAATATGGAACAGATCCTCCTGGAAATCATGCTGAGGCATATGGAGAATGAGGAGGTGATTGCTGGCAGCCAGCATGGCTTCACCAAGGGCAGATCGTGCCTGACTAACTTGGTTTGCCGACGACACCAAGCTGTGTGGCGCGGTCCTGCACCAAGGGCAGATCCTGACTGAAGAATATGGTGGGCTTCTACGATGGGGTCATGACCTTGATGGATAAAGGAAGCACAACCAGTGTCATCTACCTGGATTCATAGAGAGCGTTCAACACTGTCCCACATGAC